CAGCTTGGTTTTCTCTAGAAACGCGTTGAAGTTGAGGTTGACATGAGCGTGGGCCATTTGATCTACAAGACATTTTGCAAAGGTTTTTAGACTAAGTTCATGATAATTAAGTTCATCTACTCAAATTATTTAATGAACTCCCACTCAGATTAGACATCCCTCTAGTCATCTAAGTGATACATGATCCGACTCAACTAGACCGTGTCCGATCATCACGTGAGACGGACTAGTCATCATCGGTGAACATCTCCATGTTGATCGTATCTTCCATACGACTCATGTTCGACCTTTCGGTCTCTTGTGTTCCGATGCCATGTCTATACATGCTAGGCTCGTCAAGTCAACCTAAGTGTTTTGCATGTGTAAATCTGTCTTACACCCGTTGTATGTGGACATTGGAATCTATCACACCCGATCATCACGTGGTGCTTCAAAACAATGAACTTTCGCAACGACGCACAGTTAGGGGGAACACTTTCTTGAAATTATTATGAGGGATCATCTTATTTACTACCATCGTTATAAGCAAATAAGATGCAGAAAAACATGATAAACATCACATGCAATCAAATAGTGACATGATATGGCAAATATCATATTGCTCCTTTGATCTCCATCTTCGGGGCGCCATGATCACCTTCGTCACCGGCAATGACACCATATCTCCATCATCATGATCTCCATAATCGTGTCTCCATGAAGTTGTTCGCCAACTATTACTTCTACTACTATGGCTAACGGTTTAGCAATAAAGTAAAGTAATTACATGACGTTTATTCATTGACACGCAGGTCATATAATAATTAAGACAACTTCTATGGCTCCTGCCGGTTGTCATACTCATCAACATGCAAGTCGTGATTCCTATTACAAGAACATGATCAATCTCATACATCACATATATATGTCATTCATCACAACCCTTATAGGCCATATCACATCACAGGGCATATGCTGCAAAAACAAGTTAGACGTCCTCTAATTGTTGTTGCATGTTTTTACGTGGCTGCAATAGGATTCTAGCAAGAACGTTTCTTACCAAAACCACAATGTGATATGCCAATTTCTATTTACCCTTCATAAGGACCCTTTTCATCGAATCCGATCTGACTAAAGTGGGAGAGACAGACACCCGCTAGCCACCTTATGCAACTAGTGCATGTCAGTCGGTGGAACCTGTCTCACGTAAGCGTACGTGTAAGGTCGGTCCGGGCCGCTTCATCCCACGATGCCGCTGAAACAAGATAAGACTAGTAGTGGCAAGAAAATTGACAACATCTACGCCCACAACAAGATTGTGTTCTACTCGTGCATAGAAACTACGCATAGACGTAGCTCATGATGCCACTGTGGGTTACGTTGCAGAAAATAAAAAATTTCTACGCTTCACCAAAATCAATCTATGGAGTCATCTAGCAACGAGAGAGAGGAGTGCATCTACATACCCTTGTAGATCGCGAGCGGAAGCGTTCAAGAGAACGGGGTTGAGGGAGTCGTACTCGTCGTGATCCAAATCACCGAAGATCCTAGTGTCGAACGGACGGCACCTCCGCGTTCAACACACGTATGATTGGGGAAGACGTCTCCTCCTTCTTGATCCAGCAAGGGGAAGGAGAGGTTGATGGAGATCCAGCAGCACAACGGTGTGGTGGTGGAAGTAGTGGCGATCTCGGCAGGGTTTCGGCAAGCTCAGCGAGAGGGAGAGGTGGTACAGGAGGATAGGGAGGCGCCAGGGACTAGGGTGCGGCTGCCCTCCCTCCCCCCTCTTTATATAGGGGCCCTGGGGGGCGCCGGCCCCCTAGAGATCTAATCTCAAGGGGGGCGGCGGCCAAGGGGGGGACTTGCCCCCCAAGTCAAGTGGGGCGCCCCCCACCCCTAGGGTTTCCAACCCTAGGCGCAGGGGGAGGCCCAAGGGGGGCGCACCAGCCCACCAGGGCCTGGTTCCCTTCCCACTTCAGCCCATGTGGCCCTCCGGGATAGGTGGCCCCACCCGGTGGACCCCCGGGACCCTTCCGGTGGTCCCGGTACAATACCGGTGACCCCTGAAACTTTCCCGGTGGCCGAAACTGGACTTCCTATATACAAATCTTCACCTCCGGACCATTCCGAAACTCCTTGTGATGTCCGGGTTCTCATCCGGGACTCCGAACAACTTTCGGGTTACCGCATACTAATATCTCTACAACCCTAGCGTCATCGAACCTTAAGTGTGTAGACCCTACGGGTTCGGGAATCATGCAGACATGACCGAGACAGCTCTCCAGCCAATAACCAACAGCGGGATTTGGATACCCATGTTGGCTCCCACATGTTCCACGATGATCTCATCGAATGAACCACGATGTCGAGGATTCAGGTAATCCCGTATACAATTCCCTTTGTCAATCGGTACGTTATTTGCCCGATATTCGATCGTCGGTATCCCAATACCTCGTTCAATCTCGTTACCGGCAAGTCACTTTACTCGTACCGTAATGCATGATCCCGTGACCAAACACTTGGTCACATTGAGCTCATTATGATGATGCATTACCGAGTGGGCCCAGAGATACCTCTCCGTCATACGGAGTGACAAATCCCAGTCTCGATCCGTGTCAACCCAACAGATACTTTCGGGGATACCTGTAGTATACCTTTATAGTCACCCAGTTACGTTGTGATGTTTGGTACACCCAAAGCACTCCTACGGCATCCGGGAGTTACACGATCTCATGGTGTAAGGAAATGATACTTGACATTGGAAAAGCTCTAGCAAACGAACTACACGATCTTGTGCTATGCTTAGGATTGGGTCTTATCCATCACATCATTCTCCTAATGATGTGATCCCGTTATCAATGACATCCAATGTCCATAGTCAGGAAACCATGACTATCTGTTGATCAACGAGCTAGTCAACTAGAGGCTCACTAGGGACATGTTGTGGTCTATGTATTGACACATGTATTACGATTTCTGGATAACACAATTATAGCATGAACAATAGACAATTATCATGAACAAGGAAATATAATAATAACCATTTTATTATTGCCTCTAGGGCATATTTCCAACAGTATATGCGTAGAACTTGTAAACTGAGACGGAGGGAGTAACATAATATGTTACCATCACATAGCGCTTTCCAATGCATAATGAGTCTACAAAGTAATAAATGAAGACAGCTATATTACCACACCTATGACACTATCCACTATGAAGGTAGTAACATAGACTAGTAACATATGTATGTTACTAGTCTAAGTTACTCTCCACTATGACTCGTCTTAGGTTGGTCATAGTGGGAGTAAGTAACATAGATGCCACATAAGCAAAAATGGTGATATGACAAGTAGTTAATGAGAAGAGATGCAAATAGAGTAACATAATATGTTATCATCACATAGCGCTTTCCAGTGCATAATGAATCTATAAAGTAATAAATGAAGGCAACTATGTTACCATACCTATGACACTACCCACTATGAAGGTAATAATATAGACTAGTAACATATGACTAGGCAGAAAACGCTAGGCTAAGGTTTGGCGAAAAAGTTGCTTTGAGTTGTGTGCTGTGAGTTACTCTCCACTATGACTAGGCAGAAAACGCTAGGCTAAGGTTTGACGAAAAAGTTGCTTTGAGTTGTGTGCTGTGAGCCGAGAACGCTGTAAGCTTTTAGTTGTAATTGCTTTTTTTTTCTTTTTAGATAAAAGGCGCCCTTTATTTCATGTGGTGGTGGACTCGAGAACCATACCTGACGGCCAACATCAGGAGTGTTCATCACTAAAATCACAAGCCAAAATAAATAAATAAATAAATAAGGGACGCCAATACTTCCAAGATTTTTGGGTCAGTGATCCCTTCAATAACAACTGCCGAGGCCCCTTCAAAAACACCATGATCATCACGACAAATCACGCCGACAGCTCCTCTGGATATTGTAGGTGACATTGTTGCATCAGTATTCATTTTCTTGGTTCCATTCGGGGAGGGATCCAGTGTGGCCCTCTGTACATTTTCCTTCTGCTCATCTTTGATCTCCTCCAAGTGACGGTTTATAAACAGATGCGTTGGCACAGGGATTTGGAACTCGCTTTTGTAGATTGCCTGTCGCGTCGCATACCAAATACTAGCACGTAGATAGTGGCGCGCACCTCAATGACTTGGTCTGGACATGATGTTGCATAAGGAGAATAACCAAAGCTTCAGATTCGTCATCTCATCACCATGAATTGGTAAAACTGCATCATTTTATGGTTCCAGTAGGTGGAGGGAAACACTGTGGCCCTTGAGGAACTGCAACAGCCCTCCTTTGTACATTCTCCTTCTACTGGTCTTTAATCTCCTCCAAGTAACGGTTTGTAAATAGATGCATCGACAAGGGGATTTGGAACTCGCCTACTCGCCTTCGTGGATTGCCCGGCGCCTCGCATACCAGATAGCACAGAGTGACGAGCACCTCAATGAACTGGTCGTTGGACACGGTGTTGCACGAGAGTAACCAAAGCTTCGGGTTCATCGTCTCATCAACATAAAACATCTATAGTTTCACGTCCAAACATTGACAATGTCACAAAGGACGTTGCACGGAATAATGCAAATACCAGCACCTATATATTACAATATCGATCTATTATTAAGCAATACAATAACTGTAACAAATTACAACATCATTTCAATCCCAAATAACATAATCAGATAACATTCTTCAAAAGTTCCAATACAAGCACAAGAACCTTAAATCAAAACCCCAGTCATAGCTCATAGCAATACACAAACCACTTCTTGCACAACCCGATATATAGCTCGACAGTCGACACCCAGTCTTGCCATAACCAAACCTCTCCAGTAGCAGCGAACACGACTCCAGGCATATGTATTATCAAGTACGGGCTGCTCCGACGCTAGCGGTGCGAGACCAGACCTTTTTTGCGCCATTAGCCACGAAGGCAAACCCATAGGCATACTCAGTTTCCGTCTCAGGACAGATGATTGCTTCTCCCATGGTACTCGTGGCCTTTTACCCCCTTGTCTTGGCCCTCTTCATTCCAAGGCTGTTGTGGAAAGGGGATGCGGAACCAGATCTTTGCATCCCTTCCTCACGGAGGGTGCCGTTGAGCATTGCAAGCTCCCGGAGCTGCTGCTTCTTGAAGAAGTCCTGAGACTCGTCCTGCTTATAGATAATAGAATACAAGAATTTTGAGGCACTGATTCTGCAGAATCAGAAGACAAATAGAGGAGATATCAATATAAATACATACCATTGGCCTTAACAGATCCTCAAGGATCTCGCGGGCTTGCATCAGACGAGCATCAATAATTTCAACAGGCAGCTCTGCCTCAACCAATATATGTAGGGGTTCATTCAGATGTTCGTATCCTGGCTTTCCACGCATCATTTCCTCCTACAAAGCATCACCACAAACTACAAGGTGAAGTCGACTGAAGTACAAAACAAACACAAGCATGCAGAAAGGGGGAAAAATAACACTTGAATGACATATGGTTACCACTGGAAACAGGCCGAAAACAAGTAGTACAAGCTTTTTCCGCCAGAACCAAGCAATTCTTTGGTTATAATTCACTCTTACAGAAATATGTACGCTCAGAAATACTTACTTACTTACGAAGCCTTTTATCCCAAACAAGTTGGGGTAGGCTAGATATGAAAGCCTTTCACGAGGACTTCCCAGGAGGTCACCCATCCTAGTACTATTCTCGCCCAAATGGGTTTCATACCCAAAAGACTGGCTAGTTTTTGCGTTGGCTCGCCAAGCCTACCACAACCCTTAGATATGAAACCCTTTCACGAGGACTTCCCAGGAGGTCACCCATCCTAGTACTACTCTCGCTCAAATGGGTTTCATACCCATGGGACTGGCTAGTTTTTACGTTGGCTCGCCAAGCCTATCACAACCCTCCTCCTTTACCCGGGCTTGGGACCGGCTATGCCTAGAAGACATAGGCGGAGTTATGTACGCTCAGAAATAACATAAAATAAAAATTAACAATAAGAAACCACTGGGGAGAAAGCTGAAAAACAGCCAGTATAGATAACAAGTGATAGGAGTGGGGTTGCCACAAAAACTAAACCCCAGGTTCTATTTATAACATGGGGTAATAGGAAAGGTGAAAATGATATACCTTTTCCTAAACATGCTTATGGTACAAATTTGCTTGAAACAAGCCAATAAATATGCTCCAGATTTGCCAATATATCTAACTGGGGAGATTAAGAAAGCATGGTATCAAGAGTTTTACCCGAGCTGGATCTTTAATGCTACCCCGGCCTCTTATAAGCACACGGCAGTCAGTAGTTGCCTCCACTCGCTTCAAGGAATTTCCTCTGGGACCAAGGATGCGACCAACGAAGTTGTACTAGAAAAATAAACAAAAAGCATCATAACACAACTCCCACAACAATTCAAAGTGTAATAACATAGTAATAGCACACTTACTGTTGGATATTTGTCTACTGGAATATCAACCCTCATTGTTTTCTTGACAATTAGTCCAGATGAGCTGCCTTGAGAACCTCCAAGCCAACTATAAGCTGATGAACTCTGCAATGGTTACAGCTCGATTATTTAGAACAATGGATATGGAGCGACAGGAGTAGCTTTTGCTGTAAGCACTTGAAAAGTTACAAAATTCAAGGCAAATGTAAAGAACTAGTCAAACACACATGACTTATGAGCAATCAGAATAGTTACAGGATTACAAATAACAGTTACCACGGTTCGTTTTGCTATCAATATCATAAAGATCTACAAAGTCAACACTATCTTCCAGTTCAGATACTCTCAAATATTGTGTAATAATCATCCCAACTCATCTTAAGGTAGCAACGAAAATGTGTAGTAATAAGTAGCATCACTGTGGCCAACTAGCAGACTGACGTTAGCATGTCAATTAAGTAGCATGCTGGTTAGACTTCTGACATATGGTGCCGCATTAGTGAGTTAGTGTTAGCATGTTATCCGAAGTTCCAAAATCCAACAGTTGCGATACAGAGAGGAGTTTAATGGCATCTTTTGAACCCTCTGCCTGGAAGGGATAATAAAGTTAGCAAAGTTGGCATAAGGATCAAGCAGTATCAAGAGCATTAGCTTTAGCAGTGCAAAAAGCAGCTTGAAACCCCAGATTTAAGATTTCAGGAATAATAAATTAGCATAAGGACCAAGTGGTACCAAGAACGTAACCAGGTCTGTTAGTGTCACAGTCAGTTAGAGATGGTAATTAGACATGTAAGAGTAAGTTATGTTAAATGGTCAGTATCCATACTTCTGATTGAAATGCTGATGTCCATCCATTCATATCAGTTGCTGCTCCATTTGAATATAATCCTCCCGATGTTAGTGGACTACCATGTTCAAAGCCACTTTGGTTTAAAAGGGAGGCGTTCTCCAATAGTGTGGAAACACGTAAAATTTCTGTTTCAAATTGCAATTTCAAGAACAAGATGTAGAAAGTCAGCAGTTAGAATTAGTGATTAGCAATATACATATATACCTGACGAGTTAGTGTAAATAACTAATCTACAGAACCTTTCATCCCTTAACAAGGAAAATTTAACAAAGTCATAATAGTGTCAACTGCAAATCTGTATAGTTAGTTGTAAAGCACTAATAAATTATGCTGAAAAGATATGCGGATAAATTAATTAATTCGCACTTGCAGAAAAAAATAGTAGCAGAACAAATATTCATAGAACAAGCAGAATTCAACAATATAAATATAGTTACAACATTACAGCTAAACGGAGCAACACGAAAAAGGTATACATCAAATGCTTAAAATTTTGCATCCTAATTACAGCTATAATGTTGTAAGATTATTAATTACAGCTATAAAAGATTAGCACACTGGTGTTTATCCAACTAAGTTGGAGCTTCCCTGTGATCCTGGTAATCTAAAATATCCTCCGCCACAAATAATCCCATCAAGGAAGGATATATATTGCCCCATAGACATGCCGTCTAGTGTCATGGGCATCCGGGTCAAAGCTCAAGGGGGCATGACATGTCTCTTTATATCATGATTAGCACAGTTTTGTTAGGATTACTATGAATGAAGATTAAAGGGTGCATGGCAGCATCTATTTCTATGAATGAAGATTAGTTAGGATTACTTTCCCTAGAGACAAAGTAATAAATCCTCCTCTTCTAAATAACCCGTGGACTGGTAATAGAGAATTGCACGGCTGCAAGCTCACTGATGATCATGACACATTGGGACGTGACAGAAAATGAGGTACTATGCAGCTTAGTACTTTCAAAAGGCATGCCCCCATCAGGTTGCTGGATGAGACAAAGTCAATGTAGTCCAGCAAGCCTCAGCCAAGTTAGTGAAGCCATTCATCTAAGACTAAGCTACAATGAGATAGTCGTGGGACGCCATGCTCATAAAGATTAGGCATGTAGAGTTGCGGATGAGTACATGAATTCGTGGAGATAAAGATTAAGGCTGCGTTTGGCAGCTCAGTTTTTTTTAAAGTATTTGGAGAATACTCCATACTATGTTTTCTCAGAAACCACAGTTTTCAAAACTTTGAGGTGTTTCTCCAATACCATGTTTTTTTTAGTATTTAAGAAATAGGTCTTGACCACTCTTTTCGAAACTGAAGAAGAAATAAAAATGTGGTTTTTAGAAACTGAAGTATTCATTGCCTAGGCAACTGAATACTGAGGTTTTAGATTACTACGTTTTTGATAAAACCATGTTGCCAAACTAGGTGTCTAAACCAAAGCAGATGATGAGTGGCGAGGTGGGGTAGTGGTAGGTAGGGTGGTGAAGAAACAAAAGATATTAAAGAGTTTCCATCATTTGCTAACGC